AATTTTCAAATGCTCTATGGACCAAAAACGATGCAAATGCACCCACAAAAATTCCCATTCATATTAATGAGGGAGATTCTGTAACGGGATAAATTTTCAAAAACATCTCTCATAAATACTCTCTTCCATCATCAGATAAAAGCTGTTTGTAAAAGGACAGGAAAATTCAGAAGAGTTTACAAGAAGCAGATAAATAATCATCAAACCAGGTATGGGGGTGTCTCAAGGTTTTAATCAAGGAGGGAGAGAGGGCATGAGATAGATGAATCCACAATAATTGTTAAAACAAATGGAGACTATGCAAAAGAGAAAATCCTGAATAGATGATTAGCTCATAAAGTTGGTGCTCATCAAATACTCCAAAATTGTGCTCTATATTTCCCTGCTTCCCTTACAGCCAGGTGGGGACAAGGAGATTATTACTGACCTAGTGTACCATGAGCGGTGGTGATATAGGAGGTATCCACTGTTAACAACCTTGACTTAATACAACATGACTCTGGAATATTCACACACACACACACACCCCCAGTGTACGCCACCTGATAAACAGGAGATGCTCCATGATTTGACCATTTGTTGCACATGTAATACCACCCTATCCTGAGACACTCCTTCAATACCCACACATACCAATCCAATCTCTCAGCTAACTTTGAGTAAGAACTAGAAAAAAAAGCTACATAAAATACTACTTGTCTATGCACAACGTGCCTGTGAATATTCACAATGATGTATTTGAATAGAATTCCTTGAAAACAATGATGTGACAGTCTAGAAGCAGTCAAACTGCAGAATTACTGTAGACTATTTGCAGGCTGGAATTTGTACACTGGTGGCAATGATGGTGATGATATGGTGATATCACTGCATAATGCTGCATTTACTTTTGCTACATTTATAGAGTCAATAAGCCCCATATAAAGTTAGTAACAGTTTCAGCAATTGTGTTCTTAGTTTATCTGCAAACCAAGAACAGGTTGGATATTTTGCAATATATGCCTTGCTGACTAAATTTAACCTATTAGAGGTCAGAAGAAAAATAGATAATAAAGGCTAAGAGATAAACAATATTGACCAAAAAGCATTTGCTTTGTTTTATATTTATTAGAGTTTTTAAGTACTCTTTTCTTAAAAAAAAAAATACTGGCCACCATGGTATCTTGTGAATTATAATATAAATCATGCAGCAGATAAGATGGTGAGAACTAAACTACAGTAAGCGCTTTTAAATCCTGCAAAAGGAAAACAATATATTTATAGAAATGGTAATGTAATATAATGAAAAATTAATAGAGAATTTAAAGAAATGATTCTTTATAAGAGTCATCATTATACTTTTAATGATTTAATACCTTCAAAAATGTAATGACTGGGACTTCCCTCGTGATGCAGTCGTTAAGAATCTGCCTGTCAATGCTGGGGACACGGGTTCCATCCCTGGTCCGGGAAGATCCCACATGCCACGGAGCAACTAAGCCCTGCGCCACAACTACTGAGCCTGCTCTCTAGAGCCCGTGAGCCACAACTACTGAAGCCCGCGCTCCTAGAGCCCGTGCTCCGCAATGAGAAGTCACCGCAATGAGAAGTCCACGCACCGCAATGAAGAGCAGCCCCCACTCGCCACAACTAGAGAAAAGCCCGCGTGCTGCAGCGAAGACCCAACGCAGCCAAAAATAAATTAATAAATAATGACTTAACAAGCATATTTTTTAAAGGACAAGAGTAAAATTCAGGAAGATGATTCTATTTTTTCTCAAAATTATTTTCCTAAATGGAAGAAAAACTGATTAATGATCCAAGACAAATTTGAAAGCAAACAACAAAAAAAAAGTTTAACACTTACTACTTCACCCAACTATTTGGCTAAGGAATTATCCTCAACAGGTAGCACTAGGTTCTGTAAAAAGACACAGGGCAGGGGCCCTTTCAAACACTTTGACCTGGAAGCACCTCTGGAAGGGGTGCCCCACTGCCTAGAGGGCAGGAAATGCTTTTCTGCCCTCATTCAGCATAATAATAAGCACTAACTTGTGAGGAGTAAAGGGCACATTAAATATTTTATCTCAAAATATATTTTCATGTCATCATTTTCATCTCTGATACAACTGGCCTCACAACCAGGCCTTCTTCTCCCTTAGAATACTATAAAATTTGGTTCTTGAAAGCATGCATTCTACCCATACTAAGTCAAATATCTGTGCATATTTAATTAGAATTATTTTTATTGTGAAATTTAATTTTGAACATAACCCATAAAAGAACCATTATGTATCCTCTGAGTTAAAAGTATTCTTTTATTTAGAAAAGTTCATAGTTCTGAGCCCATAAAATTATGAATATGTATTATTAACTAGGAAAACTATGCTTAGATAATTCCTATAACTGATTCCTATCATCTAATGCTTAGATAATTCCTATGATTTTGGGTATGATTATACATTTTCATTTTTAAGGCACATGATATTCACTTAGTGTTTTACTATCTTACGGGACCCATTTAACTTATTAAGCTTCACAGAATCATCTGTGTGAAGTTCTGTCATTGGAATTCACCCTTCTGAATACTAGCATATTCTGAATAGAAAAGTTGCTAAAGTTTTTTAAAATAAATAATATTCTCAAAAATAGTCAAGGTTAATTTAGTTTAATATTTTGATATTAAAACAATGCAAACTGTTTCAACATCAAACTCTGAAGTAAACATGCTTTTATTGTTTTCTGTGAAGGCTGTCCTTTACACATGCATAGCTCTAAACAGTGGGTGTGGAAAGAGATGCTTTGGAAATGAAATAAACATCTGCACACATCTTTAGGGGGGAAACGGTGTATGGTGTTCTAAAAGGGCATTTCAAAGGCTGTAAATGCCATAGTTACCCAAGAAACAGTCAGTGCTCTTTCCCTGGATCCTATCTTATAATTAAGATGCAAATTCAGTTTTAATTATATGAAATCCTGGAAAGCTCTGATGGGGGAGGAATCCTATAGACTCCAAGGCCAAGTGCGCAAGGCGGGGTTCTCAGCGTTCTGTTCCTTAGTCTGATTTTCACGTACACGGTGACTGTGGAAGCAGATGCACATCTCCCCGGGGTACTTAAATCATCCATTAGCTTATAGCGTGTGAAGTGTCAGACACAATTGAGATTTCAAGAAGACGCAAGAGCGAGAATGATGAGCAAGCATCCCGTGGGAGAGCAAAGGGCTTCAAAGGTCAAGTTCCTGGAACAGTTCTTACCCCCCTCTCCGCCCTCCGCGCCCCCAAGCCCTAGCTCCGCACCTCCTGTCTTGGCCGATGGCTGTCAGGGTGACAGATTTGAGCAATACGTCCGGGCCGCGAGAAGCCATCAGCCTGCCGGACAACTGCAGCTTTTCACGAGGGTTCTTCCTTCACTCCCTGGGAAAGAATGAGGCGCATTCTTCTACCCAGGAGCGGCCCTTGAAACCCGGCCGAGGGTCTGCACGCCGCGTCTGCCCTCTCTCGCCAGGCGGGGCGCGCAGCAGCGCACCGAGGCGCCAGGCGGGGGCGAGGGGAGCTTTGTCCTCACCCAGGTTTGTGCTCCCCACTTCTACAGGTCTGCTGAAGTTGGAGAATGGGTCCCGTGTGTCCTTGGGGTACAGTCTGCATCTCGAACGTGAAACCCAACGGGGGCAGCACAAAAAGGCAAGTCTGCCTGTCCCCTCCCTCCTCCCCCAACACCTGTGTCCACCAACTCGCGCAAAGCGGCTTCTGGGTGCGAGGTGATCCTTCCTCTTTTAGGGACTCTACCCCACCTTAGTTTTCTAACGATACGTTTAGCATTTATTTTCTTTCTCTTTCTTTCTTTCTTTCTTTCTTTTTAATGAGAATAACGAAGTTCTCCCTCCTTCTCTTTCCCTCTCCAAGTTAGAGTAATTCATCCATTCAGCAGGGAAGGCAGCGAATGTTCTCGTTCAAGGCCGCTTTGCCCCAGGATTCCGGAGCTCCGTAGCGTGAGGTGGACATCCAGGGAATCCGGAAAGCGGGCACTTTGGCCCCCAGATCGAGTTTCCCTCGCGTTCTGGACAGGCCCACCCAGGCCGGCCTCGGGTGCCCACTCCCCCAGCGCGCGCTCCCGCGGGGACCTCTGCCCGTCGCTCCGACCGTCCCCCCACGTCTGCTCACTCTGGCGTCTCTCGGCCCAGGTGCCCGCCCTCCCCTCCCACTCCCTGCAGCCCACCTCCCAGGTCCTCTAGGGCCGTCTACGCGTTCCTCTTACCTCCTCATCCGGTCACTGGAGAAGTTTTAAACCCTTGGGGGTCTACACTGTTTCTCTCCCAAGTCGGGCAGAGCATATTTCAAAAAACCAAAAGAAGGTCTCCCTAAACTTTTCTGTCGTGAACGCTCCCGTGTCAGCGGCCGTGAGCACACACCTGCGTGCACGCGGACTTCGGTCCACCTGTCCGGGCGCACTCGCGGCCAGGGAGCCTGCCGGTGGGCAACTGCTCAGGGAGCACGAAACTCGCCGGCAGTCGCTGGCAGGGACGCGGGGCGCAGGCAAGGCATCAAAAGAGAATTTCGAAGCGGGCTGGGGAAGCGGGGAAAATGGTGATTCTAAACGCACACACACACACACCAGAGCGTGTGTCCACGTCCTGCACACAGAGCAGTTGTACCCGAAGGCACACACTCCTGAGAACAGAGCATTGTGGATTGCTCTGAATATAAACCCCCTCTGGGGCGCATTCATCTCGGAACTGACCATCCCTTTCGCCTACAAGACTTCTTAGTCTGGGTCTAAACCAGCGCCGCGCACATGAGGACGGGGACCCAGGCGCTCCCGGAGCCCTCAGCCGGGTCTGCAGAGCCCCCCGAGGCAGGTGCGGGCCCCCAGCCCCGCCGAGCAACAAGCGGGCCGTCCGCGGGAGAGCCGGGTCCTTCTTTGCCTCTGCCCCCGAGTGGGTCACCTCTCCCCGCCCCGCCCCCCATCGCCAGCTGCGCCAAACGGGCGCAGGGGAAGGAGAAAGCCTAGCGAGCGACTCACCCCCAGCTTCCTGCTGCGGATTTTCACGTAGCCCTGCTTGACTATGTCGTTAAAGTTGGAGGCCATGGCCAGCGCGTTCGGCTTCCCCGAGTCGAGAGCTGCCGTCCGCCACGGGGTCCGCGCAGGTCTCGCATCCAGCCGGCCGCCGCCAGCCGCCGCCCGGTGCCCCCGAGCTCCCGCCGCCGGGGACGCAGGCTGGGTGGCAGGGTGACCGCGGACGGGGAACGCGGCCCGGCGCCGCGAACAGCGCCCGCCCTCCGCGTTCCGGTCCTCACCTTCGCCCCCCGCCGCCGCCTGCTGCTGGCGCCCCCTCCGCGCAGCCGCCGCCCCCGGTAGCACCCACGGGCTGGCGCCTCACTCGGCGGCGCACAGCTGGCCGGAGTGCACCATCGCGGCTCCCCAGCGCGGGGGGGAGGGGCGGAACGGGGGGGGCGGGCCGATTCGCCGCCCGGCTCCCTCCCCCTGGCCCGCGGGGTGGCTGGGCTAGAAGATACTCGGAAGACGCGCCCCATCACTCGCGACTCGGGCGGGGAGCTCCTCCCGCCACCCGCGCCCTGGGTCCCGCTCCCACCCGGCTCCCTGTGCCAGCCACGCTCTCCCGGGTGCGGGATTCCTGAAGCCACGGCTCCTCATTCCCGGGCTCTTAATCTCCGCGCCCAAGCTGGACACCGGGGAAAGGGCGGTGGGGATCCTCCCAGGGAAGAAGGCCAACGGGAGCTAGGCAATTGTTTATTTCAATGGCCGTGTTTTACAGTGCATTTTTATTCCTAAGCGCACGCTCGCGCTCCAGGTCTTTGCCCCGTTAGGTTAGGAACTGTAAATCGACGCCAAGCCCTTCCCGGTGCACACAAAGAGACCAATCGTGCGCATGTGTCTAATCCCTCTGCTGCTGGAAAGACTGGAGCAATCAGGCGAGGCCCCGGTCTCCGACGTCCTCTCCCGAAGAAGCCGTGAGCGCTGGAGTGGAGTGATTTATGCCCGCGTGTTAGTTAACTATGACTAAAAGTGGCTCGTGGCTTTTCATCTTCTAGGGGAAATGCAGACCATAGCAGTTACCGGTGGATGCAAATGATTTATGGAAATGTTCCACTCGTAAAAACAAAACAATGAAGAACTCTGACCCCTTTATGTAGGAACGCGTGACATTTAGAAGTAGGCTATTCTCTGTTGTAAAGAAATTTTAATCTAAAAATTACATCCGTTTGATAAGATTCAAGGAAAAATGAGGGAGTATTAAATGTTGGTTGGGGACAATATATGGATTTTTGCTATAGGGAAGGATATTTAATACATAGTAAGGATGTTTCTAATTAAGAAAAATAATGTATAATGATTGAAAATTTTCTAAGTGACTTCTTTATAGAGTCTATGTTTAATAAGAGTTCAAAAGATCGTGTTTATTTCTGCTTATTTTGGTGAGCAGTATTTTTCCATGTTCTCAGTTTAAATTTCTTAGCCCTATTGGGAACATAACAATAGTAAGAGAGAAAGGAAACTACTTGATTGAGGCGAGAAAAATATCAAAACCTGCAGGATAAAGTAGCATGCCCCTCACCGTACCAAATGGACGCCCCAAAGGTGATTTTGGTCCCATCATTAGCAAGAGTCTCTATGCAGAGCCCATATAACCCAACGGCAACTCTAACCTGGCTGAACAGCACACTATTCCTATCCATTCATTTATTTAGCAAGCATTTGTTTGGATATCCGCCATGCAGAGGGCCAGGTGCCGGGGCAGACATATCCAATCACATGGCAAGATTCCTTAGGCTGCCACTCAGAATGAGTTCAAATTCTGATACTTGCAGAAAACTTGCGTAAACTCCCTGTTAACTTGGTGTGATTCCCCTTCTCCAAATACGTGGAGCATGTGGTCCAGCCCACACATTTGTTACTATTTCGTACACTACATGGCTGTTATTTCTTTTCTTCATGTGAAGACTGTTTTAGATTTGCTGATACTTTAAATACATTATTCAATTCAGTCCTCTTTGCAACCCAAGGATATTGGCTATTTAATAGATGAGGAAACTGAGGCTCAGAGATGTTCAGTTTCAGAGGCACAATTTCAAGATAGGTTTTGTGTCCACAATAATTTCCCTGACCACTAACTTCCACCATCCTTTACATAATAATCAGTTTCCACAAATTGATTGTAAGCTGTTTGAAGTCAGGGATTAATTTTGTCTCAGCAACAATCTTAAGGCATACCCAAGGATAAGGTAAGGTTGGTAACTCTGGCTTTTAAAGATTATGGAATGATTTTGCCTTTGTTCATATGCTTATGTAGGTCTTTATAATACCCTAATACGATGTAAATATTACCCTATATTTGTTTGATTCTTATATTGCTGGTATAGCAATTTGTTTGTGTGTGTGTGTGTGTGTCTATGACAAAATACCCTCCCCCTCTTTTTATATTGTTTGTTAGCCTCTTGAAAACACTAGGTTATGTAATATAAATTTGTCATGTAAATTCTTCTAGGTCTGGGTTGGTTGCTTGTATTCTCATGGCATAATTTATTTTAGTCACCTAAGCCCCAAACTAGTAATGTGACTTAGACATTTGAGTACATTCTTCTTTTTGTTTTCAAGAATAATTGATGAGGTGCTGTATATATCCTACTGAATCACATCAAAGCAAACAAAATGTCTGACTATCCCACTGATGAAAGGAATCAAGTGTTGTTATCCTGATCCATACATTACAAAATTCTCCTCCAACCTTCCACCTAATCGTTTTTGCAGCCCCTGATGACCATTGTTTAGATACATTGTTTCATTATGGATTGCAACATTTTGATTTTCTAATTTGATTTTATTCCTGCATTTATAAGCTCGTTTCTTACAAAACAAAACTTTCCTTTGCAAACTACAGGATTGCCCTGAAATAGATTCCTTGTAAGAAAGGCAGGGAATATGCTTGATTCTCAACCTTTATCAACCATTTTTCAGAAATATTGAATGGGTTCTAGCAAACACAAAAAGGAAACTCTGCTCCCTTTAAAATATCATCAAAGATAGAGTTTTGTATATGTGATGTATTTCAATCCATCACAGTCCTTATTCTTTTTGCTGTTTGAATTGCTCCATCCTTGACCAAAAGGAACTGTTTCAATAGACATTTTTTGTGTTTCTATCACAAAAAAACCATGAACCTTAATAGCTTTGCTGTGTTCACTCACAAGATATCGCGGGCTCATCTTGTACATTTCCAACTCAGGACCTGGAATCCATTATTTCTTCTGGGAACCTTTGTTCATTTTAATGGGAAATGCATTTCCCATTAATCTGGTTACTAGGGTGTTATTTTTGCTACTGATTCTAAGCTTTTCAGTTGTCAAGAAATGAAACACTTTTCTTTTAGAAATATATTTTAAAAGAGAAAAATTCTGTTTTTACAAATATTTCCAATTCAAATTAATGTTGACAGATTCCATATCTAAGGACTGCTTCTTTTCTTTTGAGCTTTCATTATGTGAAATACTCACATATTTCCAGAGTCAAACCTACCAAACAAGTTGCATTGACAGATACAGCTTTGATTTCTGTCCCTTCCTTCTGCTTTCTACTTCTCTTTTTAGGAAACCACTTTTATTAGTTTTGGGTTTATGTTTCCATTGCTGCTTTTTGACTATATAAGACACATATGTGCTCCTATTTCTATTTTACTTACCAAAAAAATTGCATACTATTCACACTTTTATCACTATAGTACACAGTCTCTAAACCGGGACCCAAAGATCCCCAACTCTTGGTACGATGGCCCATGTAATCCTCCTTCTGAGTCTGGCTTGGAATTTTTTACTAACTTCTAGTGAACAGAATGGCAGATGTGATGGAGTGTGCTTCCTAGATTAGGTTATAAAAGACTGTGGCTTCTCTCTTGGGTGATCTTTTTTGGATTGCTTGCTCTGGGGGAAGCCAGCTGCCACAATATGAAGCAATCCTGTGGAGAGGCCCATGTATATCAGCCTGGAGGTAGATCTTCTGAGGCTTTCCAACAGCTGTGAGTACCCTCACACATGGATTCTCCTCAGTGAAGCCTTTAAGGACTCTACCCTGGCTGACACTTTGAGAGAGAGACCCAGAGTCTGAACCAGCCACCTAACTTGCTACTAGTTGTTTCTAAATAACAGAAGACACACTTATTTTCATCTGCTAATTTTGGGGATGACTTGTTATTGTTATGCATAAATGGTATGTGGAAGTTGGGTACTGCCTCAAACAAAAACTGTAAAATTTGGAAATGGCTTTGGAATCCATCAGTGGTCTTGAGAAGAATACTGGTGAAAGCATAAAGTAACCTGCACACACTGCCAAATTGTGAAGACTGAGGACACTGTGAGTGAGATCTTACAAAAACTGAGAAAAATATTATTGGAAATTGGAGGAAGGAGCATTCTGGTTATGTATGTAGTGCAAGGAAACTTAGCAACACAGCTTCTTGCAACTATATAGAAACTAGAAAATGTACCTAATAAACTGTCATGAAGATAAGAATATTTCCAGGCAAAGTGTTGGTGGGGCAGCCTCTTTCTTCTTGCTATTTAGTAAAATGAGAAAGGAGAGAGATAAATTGAGGAATGGACCATTAAAAAAAAAAGAAGCCAACAACTGATGTTTTTTAATATTCTCAGCCTTTCCAAGCCACAACAGTGCCAAAATGAAGAAATGGCTTCTGAACAAAGATCTAACCTTGGGCACTGCTCTGAAAATTTGGTCTAAAGATACAGCCAAGGGTATGACCGTAAAATATGTATATTTTTTTAAGATTTCAGAAAATGATTTTACAGTCACATCCTTGGCTGTATCTTTAGACCAAATTTTTATGGCTGTGCTCTGATGTGCTCTAATAGAATAAAGAGATTCACAAGAAACCCACAAAGCTCTTAAGAGACTTATATATGCAGGAACATTAACAGACAAAGATTACCCAGAATGAGAGCCCCTTGGACTCCCAATATTCTGCTAGCAGGAAGCAGTTTGAGAGAAAAGCTCAGCAGGAAAACAATCAAACAAACAAAAAACTACCTTTTGGGCTTCCCTGGTGGCGCAGTGGTTGAGAGTTCGCCTGCCGATGCAGGGGACACGGCTTCGTGCCCCGGTCCGGGAGGATCCCACATGCCGCGGAGCGGCTGGGCCCGTGAGCCATGGCCGCTGAGCCTGCGCGTCCGGAGCCTGTGCTCCGCAGCGGGAGAGGCCACAACAGTGAGAGGCCCACGTACCGCAAAAAAAAAAAAAAAAAAAAAATGTAGCTTCTCAACGTATCCACCTGAAGACATTCTGTGATTTACCTACTAAAT